GGTTCAACTGTAAAGTTACGAAGCTACGAGAATACTTTTTTTGCACGAAGAAAACAAAAAGAATGACTTTATTCCACATTTTCGTCTCTACTGCGTCACTTTGGACTCGTGTTCACGACAGTATCATTTTTTCGTTATTTTTGTTTTCTTTGCGCAAAAAAAGTATTCTCGTAGCTTCGTAACTTTACAGTTGAACCACTGATGTCACACGGACTACTTTGTCGATCATCTTGGTACTTTTCTGGACCTTGAACGTGGTAGTTACCTTGCTGTCTATGGGAGGGTCAGAGAGCCCTCAGATTTCATCAAAAATACCTTAAATTGTGTTCCAAAGATGAACGAAGGTCTTACGGGTTTGGAACAACACAAGGGTGAGTAATTAATTACAAAATTTTCATTTTTGGGAGAACTAACCCTTTAATGTGTCCGTCTTAAGAGTTATTTAACTGAACTTTGATCATTAAACTTTTAATCTAAGAAGAAATCTTAAACTATTATATGAAAGCTTTAAACTGATGTTGGCTTGCAAAGAATTACTTTAAAGTAAAAATGTGATGGATAACTGATCAGGGAAAGTACAAAACAATAATCCTTTGGCCAGCAGAAAGCATGATTAGAAATAAAAATTACAAAAATTAAATTATGTATTAACTTGCAGTCATTAAGTATTTCTAAATTTACATTACAATACCCAAGTTACTTTTTTACAAATACAATTGAAAAAACAGTCCCATTAATGTAGTCATAATGAGAAAATGTATATATATTGTAACATTACGTATAGAATTACTAAAATTACTATTTTAACAATACAAAAACACTAATGTTTAAAAGTAACACTACCCATTAGTGGGTGAATAAACTTTAAAGAGCTCTTGAAAGTCTTTATACCACGTGACACAAAGTAACGAGTCTTTGGCTTGATAAAAAAGATGTCCATTCAGCATTCTCTAAGAACACTAAAACACTTTCTCTTTGAAACAGAGCAAGAAAAACACCTTCATTATTTGTGACAAGTGGCCACATGCTTATTTTTTGAGCATTACATTTATTCATTTTTTTCCTGTTTTCACAAAACAGTCCCTGCATCACACCACTGCACATTTGTATTAAATCCTGCTATCATAGAGTCTCTATGGCATCCTGATCCCTAGTAATGTCTTGGTATTTTTTTATTATTATTTTTATAGATCTTAGAAATTGCTTAGACTAAAACTGCAGAAAGTTACACACCAAAGTTAATTACAGACATCATGTCTTAACTGCAACAATGTAAATGTTTTGGCCAGAAGTACTTTATCTGCCCAAACTATATTTTTTCGACATGACAAAATGACAGCCAATCAAAAAATTATTTAATGTTTAATAATCAACTGTGGATCATGATTTTGACCCATAAGATTTCACAGTGAGTGGGTCCCCTTATAGAAAAACCACATTAATTTCCCATGTTTTCCACAAAGTCCACATGTGATTTTAACATGTACATTTCACATATGTGTAGATTTCATGTTAAACATTCATGAAATTCATGTAGTTTTTCTGTAAAGGTTTACTCAGCACAACGCCACAGAAACTAAGCGAGTAACAAAATGTCCGGTTACTTGCTGTTTCTCATGGTTGCAGCTGGATAGGACAAAAATTAGCTTACATTGCATCATGCCTGGTTAGAACACTGTGTTAGGGGCATGAGCATTAGTAATAGTGAGGCTTACCTTAGCCAGTATCACTAATAACATGCAACAGAGCAGAACTGGCCCAGAGCTGGTTTGAATGGCAAATAAAGAACTGATTTAAAAAAATATATATTTCACCAGTAGGTTCATCTGAGATCATTGCGTTTGGTTTTCAGATGGAATAATTTCAAATGCTTGGACATTTTGTCCAGAAGTAATATTTTAATAAAGGAATCAGTAAAGAGACTCTCTGCTCAACATTCTCACTAATACAAATTGATGAAGAGAAAGAAAGAGATGGATATAGAGAGATCAAAGGTTCTGATGTAGTCTGCATGAGTCCAGCACGCAGTGGGAGGGAACGTCCAATCATCAGATTCCAGACTGAACGAATGCTAGAGAGACTTATCCAGCTACATATCGCCTGCATTACCCCACTGAATAGAACATTCACATATTTATGAACAGTGTTGGGGGTAACTCATTACAAGTAATGCGAGTTACGTAATCAGATTACTTTTTTTCAAGTAACTAGTAAAGTAACGCATTACTTATGTCATTGGCAAAGTTCTGTTGTGACAGTTCGATGTCATCAATCATGACAGCCCTGAATCCTTAGCAATATCCTGTAGTCCTCCAGATGATTTCTTAAACCCACTGGGGTTTGGACAGCAAAACCACTGTATCAAAAAGTGACAGGTGTTCCTTCAGTCACATTTGAATATGACAATCCCTGTATCACATTCTGGAAAATATTCAGAAGTATCAAAGACAAAGAAATACTGAAATATGTCCTTGCTTTAAGCAGAAATTTAGGAGAAGTAGTCGGTGTCCACCTCTAACATTTGGTTCATTCCAAGTTGTTTTGTAAGGATTTTGGCTATGTAAAATCTGGAAATAAATTCAAACCTCTCTAAGGCCAGAAACATTAGACAAATGCCAGAACAAGAATATGGTGATAAAAAAAAAATTATCTTGTATAAATTCTAAGCAAATAGCACTCGCAAGTAAACTACAGTATAGTAGGGAGAGCACAGTAAATATAATTTTTGCATTCATATTTGCTAGAACTGCAAAATAAAACAATACTATTTCATTTCCATTCCTTTCCAAAAGAATATATATATATATATATATATATATATAGAGAGAGAGAGAGAGAGAGAGAGAGAGAGATTATGGCAGCAGATGTCAAAATTACACTCACTCCCTACGCAGCTCTATTAGAAACCACATTGCAGCTGTAGTTTCCTGTAATGTAATGCAAAGGTATAATAACGCAAAAGTATAGTGATATAAATGTACATTCATACAAAATAAAAAAAATACAAAATTAAAAAAGAAGCAAGTTCAAGACTCTCATTTTAATAATAAAATACAAACTATTAAATGAGATCACTTAATAAATTAAGAGATTAAATCCATAGCATATGTCTGGGTTATTTTACAAATTATTTAAGAACTGCAGGTTTGCATTTCTTTGTTTTGTTTTTTTATCCCTTTTGATGAATATCTGTTCTTTATAGAGTGACATGATTAATCAGCAATGTTGCAGCAAACACAACATCTGTCTGGTGTCTATATTTCAGCAGCACTCACATACATTTTACTATGAGTGTAATACAAAACTTTCCACACACAATTTTTTTTACTTAAAATTACTGACTATGGTAAAACAAGTTATCACTATTATTTTAATCTTCTGATTAGTTTTATTTAACAACAAAAAAAGTAATTTAATGAAAAGAGATGTAAATGGAAAAAAAATGAAAAACTGTTACTTAGGTGATTGATTTGGTCAGGACATGTTTCAGTATAATTATAGTTGCACACCAAAACATTTTTACAGCATAAATATTTGTCCAAATTAAAAGAGCTCAGGAATAATGATTTTGAACTCTGGTGACAAACTAAACTTGAGCACCCTGACCCTCTCTCAGCTCCCATGTTTACACTGACTTGAGAGCTGTATAACACATAGCTGACTATGCTACCAATTATGGTGCACTGCTGTCATTGTTTAAAAGTCTTACTCCTAATTTTCAGGTCTTATTTGTACATCAGTACATTGCACTTCCTGAATGAGGTCCCAAATGTTTCCTCTACGATGCTACATGAATCTTTGCAGTGCAACATAGTGCTGCGATTTTTCAACAAATTGGTGCACCTCTTTTGAATCAAATACATAGTTCAGCTGGTAATGGGTTTCAGTAAGAAAGCTGTTAAACCCTCAGCCTGCTGTTTTCCAACCATTTCCTCATTTACACTTGCCAACAACATTTAACTACAGTCTTACCTGATGAATAATTTCAGCCACTGGGAGTTGGTCCACATATGTCAACGATTCGATTTGTATATCGCCGCTTCCAGACCTGAGGAAAAAACACGAAGAGGTAACAGTCTTTACAGCAGACAAAACAGGTCCTTTTTTTAAATGTAATGTTTTCAAACTTCGCCTGAGGTGAAAACGAAACAAATGACTTGTTATGTGTCCTGTAAAATTGAAGCACCCTCTAATCTAGCTACATTACTATGCAGTGGGCAGAAGAAGCCAAAGCCTCACCAACGTGCAGCCATCCCCTCGGCAATTGCCCACAGTCTGTTAGTTTGAGAGGTGGGATGATGTTTTGGCCCTCATGTAGGCCAGTAAAGCTCAGGAAAAGACGAAAGAGTCGGCTTCAGCCCGTCTATTTGCGACTTCATACATGAGTGGCTGCTGAAATTAAATTCAGTATGCAGCTCTCAATTCCACACAACAACTGACTGAGACCGAGTGTGATCTGGAGTGGAAGGTACCAAAACAAAAACAATTGTCCTTGATAATGAATGGAGGGAAGAAAAGAGGAAATGGTAGAACACCCCCCATGAAATCTCATTGGACTACATTATTTGTGGTATCTATAATTTCTCTCTGTATGATATGTATCTGTATATTTCGCTCAAGGAAAACATGCATCCAGAGTTAGCTGAAGCAACACTATTATACAGCTTGCAGGACAAATAAAATGAATCAAGCATTTAAAATATTTGTTGCGTGACGTGGGGGTGGTGATTGACAGGTAATTTTAGAGGCGTCTTTGCAATTCACAGAACAAACAGCAAACAAACTGAAAAGTGTTTGCATGTAGAATGAGGACTGGAGGTTAACAAAACGACTGTAGTGCAGCTATATGTTAGAGACCGGAGGCAATTGGTAATCTATAGTTGGGCACAGCATTTCACACAACAAATCATTCCTGTATTTCAATGAGCGGCCTGGGCAGCCAATTCACGGCCCACCGGGATGAGGCTTTTTCTGTTAGTTGACAAAATGGCCTGTCATTCTAGCCATGTGTATAGCATAGGCACATTGAACCACTTTTGGTTTCAGTTCAAATGGCTAGACTTGAATTACTGCAAAACGGAAAAGCAACAAGAACACAGCTAGATTATTTACTATGTGCCTGTCGGCTACAACATCTGCACTCGAGCAAATGGAACAGCAATAAAAACACTGCAGTAGCAATGAAACAAATCGTTTTTCCCCGTTTCATACTGACAAGTAGTAATATAGACAACATTTTTTAATTTACATTTTCAGAAGAAATTGTGAGTGGTGTTTACCCATGCAAAACTCCACATTGCCAGCAATGAGCTTCCTAATATGTTCTGAATTGGTTTTAGCATGCTGCTATGCGGCAGACAATTTTGGTGGTTGTTTTGTGGTTTCTTACTTGGCCAAGTCAAAAGAGCCCAGCTTTTTTATAATATTCTGATCCCAAGATCTATATATGCATCCCAATATCTCAGAATCAGCCTTCAAATCCTTGCTGAGAATCTCCTCAACAAGCCGCACAGTTCAAGGTGTCGCGGTGAGGGAATTTCCCTTGCGGTAATTTTGAGTGGCTCAATAGCGCGGTATGCGGTATTATCGCCATATATGCGCCACAAGGTGGTGGAACGTGACTGTCATTCAACTACACGTTCAAAAACGCTGATTCATTCATTCAAAGAGACGTAAGGAAACACGCTGTTGAAATCATTTTAACTTTGAGCGGCACTTTAGAAGGCTCAGCTGACGAGCTATGCGTCGATGCTAAGACAGAGATTTCGCTTTCCTTGGACATGACAACCTATTTTCACAAATATATATGACTCGGCCTGGAGGACAGACGCAAGTAATCGCTCAGTTGATCTCTCTCTTATTCACTGTCTGTTTAGGCTTGTTAAGTGCAAATCTACGGAGCCTCTGTACAAATCAGCATGGTACACATTATGTTATAATTACTAACTTGTTTAATATTTAGTCCAGTAATTCATGTATGTAATACAAATGATGCAGGACAAGTTATTCAACAAAATGTAATACTTAAGCCTAATTACACAGACAACAATTACTGTCACTGGAGGTTGCAGAGTATCTGTGGGGTTGCTACTCGACTCCATTATCCGACTGTATTACTTCCATTAGTTGTTGCTACATTACACTGCATTTGCATAAAAGCCCAGACACATCAAACTGACAAAAAAGAACGTCACCTCACATTGCCTGCCTTTTGGCCAGAAAGTTGTGCTTCAACAGACCGCAAAGACTACAGTCATCAGCCAACATGCACATATGTTCTGTGCCTGTGTGAGCGCAAATTACTCTCCATACCAGCAGGTGGCAGTAGTCTGTATTCATAATTCAAAAAGAGAAACCAGGAGACTTGCACTGCATCCGAAATCGAATACTTCCCTACTTTATAGTGTGAGGAAAACAGTACGCCAAAAGAGTATTATTTCTGAATTCATAGTATTCGAAAAACAGTAGCTGAAAAGTACCCGGATGACCTACTACTTCCACCCGGATTCTGAAGTGCACATGCGATGGACATTTTACTATCCCATGAGGCCACGGCAGAGGTTTTATGAATGGCAGTGAAGCGACACAACTGACACTGGCAAGTCATGTGATAGTAACAACATGGCGGATGTACGTATTAGGTCTGCACAATTAATCACATTTCTAATCGCGATTACAATTATTCGGCGTGCTTAAGATGCGTTTTTTTCTTTCTACATGTTATCTTAAGGGTTTTTCCCATTATTTTAATTTTAGTATAACATTATAATACCATTCATATTTTTACTTTTTTATAATTTAAAGATTGATTTTTGTCATAATAGTGCAGTCCTAGTACGTATGTCCGAAATTTCATTCATACTGCCCATATTCATACTATAGAGAACATAATCTTTTAAGTAAGTTCAAATTCAAATGTAGCACCTACTCAGTACGTGATTTCGGACCAATTCAACATGCTCAAAAAAAAAAAAAAAAACCCAGACTGGAGAGTCTCGAAAAGAGTGGGCACGTATTATAAAGATGAGTGGGGAGTCTATTAAACCATCCTCCTCTGTAAAACTTAATTTACCTAATGGAAGCCCTCTGGTACAGCAGCAGAGACTGCGGAGGAATGGAGGCAGAAAACAGGATGGCTAGAATGATTTAGTGTTGTAACGCCTCTACTGTCATGTTCAGAGAGACATCTCATGGAGGGGGGAGAATAAGAGTTGCGTTGCTTTTACACTGGAGAACATGATGTTCTGCTATGCTGAAACCTAAAGGGATAATTCACCCAAAAAGGAATACTCTGTCATCATTTACTCACCCTCATGTCGTTCCAATCCAGTATGACCTTTTTTTCAGAGGAACAAACATTTTTGGAAGACTACACCTGCTACTTTTTTTTATATAATTTGATGCTGGGGTTCAACTGAATTGACTAGAAATTAATAATGACACTATTGTCTTGTGTAGTTGAACTGAACTTGTTTCACAACTGATTAACTCTGCAACATTGACCCTGTTATTGCTAACAAAGCTAGTTCATGCATTCATGACCTCTAGACTGGACTATTGTAAAACTAAATTAAATCAACATTGGCCTAAACTGAGCCCGCATCACACTACTTCACTATAAAAAGTGAACCTGGGGCTGTCAAATTTTATTACAATAGCTTTGTGTGAGGAACATTCTGAAATTATCTAATAAAATGTTGGTAACACTTTACAATAAGGTTCATTAGTTAACATTAGTTAACTACTTTAGTTAACATGAACTAAGAATGAACAATACTTCTACAGCATTTATTAATCTTAGTTAATACATTAACTAACATTAACTAATGGAACCTTATTGTAAAGTGTTACCAAAATGTTTTTCAGTATGCAATTTACAGGTGTGAATGAGTTATTCTTTTGAGAATGGTTCACAAAACTGTTAAGATTTTTAAAATGTTTTTGAAAAGTCTCCTATGCTCAACAAGACTTCATCTATTTTGTCAAAAATACAGTAAAAACTGTAATATTGTGAAATATTACAATTTACAATTACAATTCAAAAGAACTGTTTTTGATTTGTATATATTTCAGAATGTAATTTATTCCTGTGATGAAAAGCTGATTTTTCAGCAGCAAATCAATATAATGTGCTCAGTTCTAATCAATGATTACTGCTGCTCATTTATTAATAATGGTTCTTATTATTATCAATATTGAAAAGAGTTTTTGCTGATTCATATTTTTGTGGAAACTGTGAAATGTTTTCAGGATACTTTGATGAATCGAAAGTTCAATGAACGGCATTTATTTGAAATAGAAATATTTTGTAACATTAAAAATGTCTTTACTGTTTATCGATTTAATGCATTTTTTCTTCTTTTTTCTTCTTTTTTAAAATCTTACTTAACCTAACATTTTGAATGGTAGTGTATAATGGTTTCCAGCTGGAAAACATTTTGAGCATTGATAATTATAAGAAATGTTTCTTGAGAAGCAAACCACAATATTAGAATGATTTTGATTTGAATGATTTGAAAGATCATGTGACACTGAAGACTAGCGTAATGGCTGCCAAAAAGTCAGCTTTGCCATCACAGAATTAAATGACAATTTAAAATATTAAAATACAAAAGAGTTATTTTGGTCAAATAAATGCAGCCTTGGTGAGCATAAGAGACTTATTTCAAAAACATTTAAAAAATATTAATTATTCCAAACTTTTGACCAGTAGAGAATATATAAATACTGCATCACCCTTATAATACTTTCAAGGTATGCTACTCTTTGGAAACCTGAAATCTGTGCTCCATAGAAGAAAGAAAGTCAAAGCTGGTAATCAAAGAAGGTTAAGTGAAAGCTGTCCACCCCTAATGGCATGCGGGCACGTTGTTTCCACATGACAGACATGCGTTGCTCCAGAAGTGACACAACTAGTCCATACTGTCACAGGCCCAGACAGAGTGAGCAAGGTGACCAGGCATTAGAGAGTGGACACATGTCCTTGTCAAGGCAGTCTGATGGTAGAAGACAGTGGGGACATCAGCCATGCATGACAGCTGTAAGACA